AAATTATAAAGTATTTATATAGTTAGAGAAATAGTATTTATATAGTTAGAGAAATATAAGGGAAGACCAAAAAATGTTAATCTAATGAAAGGGTCCAAAAAACTTGTATAAGTAGATTTTTTAGGACTCCTTCTCTTTTAATAGTATTGATGATTTATAAATAAGTAGTAACCACTAATCAAGAACACATTCCTTTATCTGATATTTGATTTGCTTAGATGCCATATTTTAATTCAGCATATATCGGTGATTAAAATTGTGCAAATTGATGATACTTATCTACATAGTTATAATTATATAAGCCTGATTATATAGCAATTGTTGAGAGTTTTTTTCACCGCTACCTTTTTTTCTACAACATCAAATCTTTTCTAATCATGATGTTAAAAAACGAGATTTTTTTTTTGAACACACGAGATTTTTTATTTATTTTCCTTTTTAACTGTTAAAAAGAAAAACATTTATAGTTAGGAAAAAACTTAAATAATTTATTCAAAAATCGTACAATACTAAAATAGTTAACCACAGCCCAAGGATTTATAGCATAAAAATGTACAATAAAACTTAACCAGTCATGGTATATTTTATTTATTGACGTATCGTGCTCATATAGTTTATTTGTTTAGATTCTGTTGTTGTGAATCTGTATGGTTTTAAAAGCAAAAACATTATTTATTCCTCTCTTCATGAACAAATTTACCCAACATCACATGTCTCAAAAAGGAATGTATTTCCTCGAAAAAATAGCAAGTGGTAACCATTTATTTGATACACATTAATAGCAAGTGGTAAACATTTACACGATATTACCCCTTTTTTGTTCAAAATTACCATATCTCTTGTTTAAAAATGATGTTTAGTGAAAAATAGAATAAAAAATGACTTTTTATGAAATATCTTATATATTAAAACCGCAGTATAACTTCACTTCATATGTGATCTTTTTAAAAAATGAACTATTACTAGAAAGTCATGTTACATTAACTCTCTAATCTTATCATTATTATATCTTATAAGAAATTATATCTATAATAACAAAAATTTGGTTTGGATAAATTGCCCTACATCTTCCAACTTAATCACGCAAAATATGTCAATAGATATAAGTTTATGAATCTTCTATTATTTATAAGGAAATATGTCAACAATAGTTAAATGCATCCACAATATATTAACAAAAATCACAGATTCATAATATGAAATATTTATAAACCCTAACAAAATTTACACGCTATATATATTAATGATAATACTCTATTATTCAACATCATAAATCTTTGCCTCCAGCCTCTACATCACAAATCTTTACCATTAGAAACAAACACATATTTGAAAAACATATATAATATAGAAAATTTGAAACAATCGTTTTGATTAAAATATGTATTATATAATATTATTATGTTTAAAAAATATTTACTCATCGTAAATATGTGATTGCTATAATATATACCAATTTACAAATAAAAACAAAATATTTATATAACTGACTATAAACGAAAACAAACACTCTCGCGGTTGCGCGGATCAAAATCTAGTAGAGATTAAAATCTGAGTCTATGGCAAAAGATTTTATCACATTAATAGGAGAAAGATCTTCAATTTTAGTTATGGTTTAATTAAAAAACTAAAGAAACATATCCTGCAATAACTAAAAATGGTGTTTGTTATCTCTAATTAAATCGTAAATAAACAGGTTTTTGTAGTGATAATTTATCGACAGATAAGCAAATCAGCAGAATGACAGAGAACTCTACGAAAGACACGTGTCCATACTCGTAAAGACTTTGACGATTTCACCGTTACCCTAATCTTATCTCTTTCCTTCCTCAAAGAGAGAGAGATATATAAATAAATATATTAATTTCATTTTATCTCCCTCGTGAAATCTCAACCCCTAAAATAAAAAAGGAAAGACGGAGAAATTCTCGCACAATTTTCTCGTCGTTTCCATCGTTTTCTCTTCTTGACTCGGTCGACCCACACCAACAACCCCTTCTCTCCCTCTCTCTCTCTTCCTTACTTTCGTTTTGAATCCGAATTTACCAAAAGGAAGAAACTTGCTGCGTTTGTTTCAAATCCAATCGGAACTTTTTCCAGAGATCTCGTTTATCTCGCGGCGAGGTTGGTTTCTCACGGTTCTTCGTGGGTGAGGAAGGGTTTTTCGTTGCTCTCTCTATTGGTTGATTCAATTCGATCTCACGGATCAACAAGTCTTCATCTTTTTTTTTTTTTAATTTAGGTTTCGGATTTTCTAGAAAACCCTAGTTTTGATCTTACCAAAGTGTTTAGAAAGAAAAGAGTTAAAAAAAAAAACAAATTATTCATTCATTCGTTTGTTACCAATTCGTTGTTAATACGTCTCATCTTAGCGTTTTTCCGTTTCCTTTCGTTGTAGGTTTCTTAGGGTTTCCTATTTTACTTTCTAATCTAGAACCAAAGAAGCTCTGAACATTTGGGTGACTAAGTATTTTTTTGTTGTCATCTCAAATCTTAGAATTTTCATATCTCCAGCTTTTGTTCTTATTCTCTCTTATCAATTACAGATAACCAAAAAAAATATAGCTTTTTTCCGGATCTGATTTTCACTTTTTTTTAGGGATTCTGTACAAAGGGATTCTTTTTAGGTTTTCTAAGTGTATATAGACTAGTTTTTATGGCGTTAAATTTTTCAAATAGGCACTTTCCTTCCTATCTATCTGAGGAACCGATGAAGATAGCCAATGGGTATCTTGTTGAGGGAGTTTCTGAGAGGAAAGACGATGTCTTTTCTCATCCTTGGTGTTCAAGTATTGCTAAAGGTGATTCCTTTGACTATGGGAGGAGGAACAACACTGGAGATTCTGTTGATATTCTTGATGTTTTGCCTTCTGATCCTTTTGGCATGGATATCAACAATACTTTCACTGCCATCACTGGATGGCTTGAGGATCTGGAGGCTGATTATGGGATGAGATATGAGAGTGGGGTTGGTGATGGAAACCACCACCAGCTCTTTGCTGGGTTGAGTTTCATTTGGAATAATGCAATGCGGTTTCAGGAGTTTCCGGAGAGTGATGGGTGGGGGTCGTTGAACGGGTTTGGTGATGGATCTTGTCATGGTGCGGCCTTCGTATCTGCACCAGTGAGCCTCGTGGATGTGAGGGATGGTGGCGAAGTTGCAGAAAGCAGTGGTCGCTGCAGCAATGATGGAGGAGAGAACGCAAACGTTCATCCAGCGTTTGGTTTTTGTCTTTATCACTTGGGGGTGAAGGATCTTCTCTCAGTTAGTATGGTTTGCAAGTCGCTGCATATGACTGTCTGTGATGACTCGCTACTGTGGAGACATATCCACATTTCTCAACCCTTGAATGAGAAGATCAATGATGAGGCTCTTCTGCAGTTGACCGAGCGTGCTCAGGGCACTATGCAGTGTTTGAGGCTCGTAGATTGCTCGAGAATTACAGAAGATTGTCTCAAGCAAGTGCTAGAACGCAACCCACAAGTAGTTAAGGTGAGCTTTTCTTCATTTCCTTTTCAAATTTATATGGAATATTAGTCAAGATTAGAATGTTTCTTAGGGATCTTATTTAAACGTAATGTTGTTTTGTGGTTGGCAGCTTGGCGTGCCTGGATGTATAAGGATCACAATCGATGGTGTAATGAGCATCTTGAGAGATCTGAAGTCTGCGGGAAAGCTTCAAGTGAAGCATTTGGAAATCGGTGGCCTCTTTGGAGTTACCAAAGATCACTATGATGAACTGTTTGGTTTGTTAGACATAGACGATGATGTGGAGCAGTCCATACAGAAGCCACGTTATTACCATAGAGGATACTCAAGTGCATCCTGCGATGATAACGAGGGGATAGATATTGAGATGTGTCCAAAGTGTCAGAACTCGAGGCTTGTGTATGACTGTCCAGCAGAAGATTGTAAAGGGAAGGAGGAATGTCGCGCTTGTTCTCTTTGCATACAGAGGTGTTTTCAGTGTGGTCGGTGCATCAATGACAGCGAATATGAAGAAACCTTTTGTCTGGAGTTTTTGTGCTCTGATTGTTCTAAGCCGTCCCCTAAGTTACCTCTCTAGGTAGAAAATCCCATCTGAGCCTTTCTTTTCATTCTGAATTGAATGGCTCAGTTCTTTATGGGCAAGCTTGTCCATGAGTGTTAGGTTATATGGTATTCTGTACATATATTAGTATGGCTTTATTTGGTTTGGAGAAGTCAAAAAAGGGAAAAAAGAGTCGTCGAATAGTTTGTAGGTGAAGACTAAACAAAGAAGTCTGTAATGGGTGTAATGGCATCGATGGTAATCCGCTTTTAGTTTTAGGTTGAGAAACAAGTTACGGGATGAGTTTGTCTGCTGTCTCGACTGGGACTTACACGCTACATGTTGATGGTTTATTTGTTTGGAGATAGTCAACAAGTAAAAAGGAAAAGACTATGTAAAAGAAAGTTCCGAATGGTAAGAGTAGTGTGTTTTGCAGCAGGCGGTGTGATTTGTCAGCTGTTTTGGTGGCTGAATTTGGAGGGTAAAGTATTAAGAGGTTTTCCGGATTGATGGTACACTGATGAAGACATCTAAGAAGACCATAAGATCTGTATTTTGGTTTATTTTGTTTAAGAAAGTCGGGAAATGGCTTATTTGGTTTGAGAAAGTTGGGAAAAGAAAAGATGGAGACGGCTGTTTGGTGTGCAGTTAATTGGAAGACTACACAAGAAGAGACTACACTGTGTATTGATGGTATTGGTATTGTTGAAGGCATCAGACGAGAATATAGGACTGAGAAATTGATGATGTAAGAAGAGGTCTCTGGTTTGTAGATGTGAGGGCATACTATAGTGTGGGCTTTTTTAGGTTTTGAGAAAGCGAGGAAAAGGAAAGATTATGAATGCAGAATGTTAAAATCGAAGAAAGTGACGAGAGTAGTGTGGTTTGTCACCCTATTATGGTGGCTCGTGAGTTTGGGAATTGATTGTGCTATCGAGATTATTTGGGGTTACTGGTACTCTACTGAAGCCATTATAGGAAGACAGCAAGATTGACACTTAGGGTAAGAACCAGATGATCATCATTTGTGCTATGTAAGGTGTGAAGGACATGGTTAGTCTGCATTCTTGACCGAGATCTTAACTCCATGTTGATCAAGGTAAAGTTCTATCTCGTGGCTCTTGCATAGGTTTCTTAACGATGAATACTTAATTCACCAATGTTTTGCATATGTTTCTTAACCTTTCGTACTGAATCCACGACTGTCTTTTTTGTTTTCAGGTGTGACTTTTGTGAAATATTTGCTCAATGGATGTGAGCTTCAACTATCTAGGAACTTATTTATTAAAATAAAATGTTATGTTACATCGTTTGTTTAGTAATAATTGTCATAAAATAAAGATTTCTTTGGGTTTGGACATCCATTTGGCATTAAAATAAGAAATAATTATTTGTAACTTTGATTGTGCTCCAAAAAAAAAAAAAAGTTGTAAGTTTGAATTGTTTTCTGTATATGCAACTAAATAAACAAATTTAAGATTAAGCTATTGGTTTTAGTTACGAAGTGGGGTTGTCTACGCTTAGGCGCCCTCATATAAGGCAAATCTCTTTTGTGATGGGCGTTGTCTTCTCATTTCTTCTGCTGATGCCGTCACATCAAATAAGAGTTCCTCCTTGAAATTGGAAAGACTATCCAATTGTAAAAGTCTTTGTTTTCATTGATCTTTTAAACTCTGTGTTCTACCCATTTTCCACCGGGACACAGCTTATGGGTTTCATATGATACAGCAGGCAGTGATGAGAGATGAGAAATATATTATCTATTCTTCCTCTGTACATTCCTTCTTTTGAATGTTAATTGTGACAGATTTGTAACCTTAGCAAAATAACTCAATCCATGGTATGTTTGGTTTATAAACAAAATGATGCAAAGCAACAGAGGTGAGAAACCTGATATTTATTGAAACAAACATAATTAAGGTACATGATTTCCCACACAATTCAGAAGAGCAAAACATAAACCAACATTGATGTGAATAAAGGATTCACTTGAGTTTCAAGAAAATAAGAAGAGGATTCACTTGAGTTTCAAGAAAATAAGGATTCACTCATGCTTCTTCATCCCATTCATCGTTCTTGTAAGAGACAAGGGTATCCACTTTGTGAATCTGCAAAGAAAGATGGTGAGTTCAAGAATCATCTGAAAGTGAATATAGAGGATTCAGGTTTCTTACCTTGGTGTCAAAAGCGTGTAGCTTAACCATCTGAGGATTAGCAATCAACTTGGGGTCGCTTTCAACCCACGTGAATGGAACAGCCACATCTGTGTCCGTATATGCCAATACATCAAACACACCTTAAACAAACAAACAAAAACAATGATATGCAATTACAATGAGAAAACAAATAAAAGAGTGTTGATATGACTGATGATTGATCACTGGATTGGATTGTTTCTTCTTACAAGGTTCATCAAGACAAGGCAAGTAAGTAATACTGGAAGCAACCTGTCTCATGATAGCTTGGATCTCCCTCATTATCTCCTTATCACTCTTCTCCCTCGACACCCTGAAATGATTGATAATATAAAAAACAAAATTCCAAGAACATTTCATTATAAAGAGAACTAACCCTTTCTCAACAACTTCAGCATCAGTCTCAATACGAAAGTTCCACCTCTCCAAGACTTCACCAGTAGCTTTGCTCATAATAACTAGCACTACTCTCTGCAACTTCCCAGCTTCAAGCCATTCTTTTGTAACAAAATCACAAAAAAAAAACAATATCAATCTCTAATAAACGCCTCAAAAATATATAATCATTTACAAAAATAAGAAATGATCTTTGTCATTTCTTTTTGTTATTTAATTACCGGAAATCTGAGAAGTGAGATTGGATAAGAATGATTTGACAGATTCATCTTGAATAAGCAACATGGGAAGACCATACTTCTTCATTTTCACAAAGCTTTCCTCTGGATAAACTGCTCTATTATACAGTATACTATTTTACCCCCCAAACAACACACACACACAAAAAAAAAAACAGTCAATTTCATTTTTAAATTTCATTGACATTTTTAAATGGCAGCATTGCTGTCTCACCTGTTGGCAGCGTAACCTGTAAGAACAGTAAGAAGATAAATCAGATTAAAAATATAGATGAGAAATTAAAAAGAAACAGAGAGTGAAAAAATGAGGAATACTCACAGAAGAACTCGCTGACGATGGCAGCAGATCCGTGCAGTGTGATGATATCTTTAGCAGCAGCCGTTTTCGACGCCATTGAAGCGGGATTCAGAGATCAATTTGGATATGTGATTTGATTGTTCTATGGGAGCAAAAGTGAAAAGAAAAGGAGAGTAACGGCTAGTCTTTTATATAGTGATAATGCGCTTTCAACGGCTACTTGTTAATTAGCGGGTAAAAAATATAAAATTAATATTTCAAATATTGAAATCACACATTTATTTGAATTATTCTCCATAAAATAATATAATGGATTGGGAAATTATGAAAAACTTTTAGAACGGATAATGATCTACAGATAAATCTCCGGTAATTCTTGAAATTAGTAGGAATGTGTTTCCTTAATTAGAGGAATGTGTTTAATTACCCACATTTTACATAGTATTAGTAGTTTATTTATCTCATTTTAGTTTTTGTATTTAAGCATCAATTAGTCTACTCTATTAAAATAGAGTCACTATTTTTATCTACTACAAAGAAGTCATATATGACATTTCATTTATTACTTAGTATGACATATTAAATTATTTAGGTTAATCAATCATATATGATGAAAATAATAAATTTACATTCTATTTTTAGTTATAACAGAATCGGTTGAGAGAAAATCTAACAAAATCTTACTAAAAGTTTAAATATTTTATTATTAAATAACATAATAATAAATTTCGTAATTAATAATATCATACTGTTATACATTAATATTAATTAAAATTTCACTATAATAACAAAAAAAGAGTCCCATACTATTTTATAAATTTCAAAGTAAAAAATTAAAGAATATTATATATTAATAATGTTGAATAAAAACCTACACCAATTAGATTATAAATTTACACAATATATAACATAAAAATATAAATTATATATTTCAAATATTTAAATTAATATTAAATATTTTTTTTTAAAAAAAATATACCCGCACGAACGTGCGGTTAAAAACTCTAGTTAGAGTTAAATAAAAGGGAAGTGAATGACTGGAGTAAGCTTGTTATGTTTTTAAGAATCAAATAATGTGATTGGTTTGGTATGTTTTGAGTTATAGTAGTAATAAGGCTTTTTCGAGTCTCACTCCCGTCGTTCTATGGAGTTCAGACAGAATGATCAATGCTTTTGACGGGGTTTAGGTCTTTAGCTAATCGAGATCTTCACAGTCTTATACTTCCTTTTGTTATCAATGTGTTATCAATGTATTTTATTCTGACAAGTTAGTTCATTTTATAAACAAATGGGAGTTGATTTCACGAAACTAAGGCATGTAAGCAGGAAGAGACCTGGTATGGATTAATAAATATATTTACTTGTCAACGAACAAAAACACATTTTAAAAATCTCCTAAAGCTGAATTACTCACTATTTAAAATTTATAATTTGGTCAATTTCCACTTAAATATAATGATTAGGGATTAAGAAATGTTTGAGTCAACCATACCATCCCACAAGCATCAAAGGCTGCCGTGACACGCATGCATTTTTGGAGTTGACTTGTACGGTTGTTGTACCAATCACAAACATGATTAAAGTCTATCTGAGGCTTACATTTTCGTATCGAGAAATATGCTGTTTAAACTATATTCCACCATTGAAAAAAGCATTATGAAGAATATAATTTATATCTCTATAATATTATTTGAGAAGTCAATTTCTTAGGTGTCGCGCTCACGTTAACTCTCACATTGGTTGATTACTATGATAACCCTAATGAATTTAAAATATAATTAAATATTATTTCCTTTTTAAAAATTTCCAAATAACAATATAAAATAAAAAGGAAACATTTATAAAATTTACAAAACTATTTAAAAACGAAAATATAAGTATATATAATATGGTTTAATAAAAAAAAGGAAAGTTCACAAAATAGTAACAATTAATTTAAATATATTTTAAATAACATAAAATATACCTTTGAAGTAATAAAATACTTTATACCTATATCTTCTTAGAGAAAAAAATATATCTGTATATAATGAGATTTCATAAAAAAATTCACACAAAAATAATTGCTATTAGAAAAAGAAATATTTTTAAAAAAAAATAATTTTAAACAATAAAATATATATATTTTCAAAATAATTATTTTCGTATATATCTATCTATTTTATTAGATAATTACATAAAATAACAACTAACATAAACTGATATATGTTTAACTGAATTTTTTATATAATTAGTATTATTGAAATTATTTTTTTAGTATATTTATTTGACTATAATATCTTACAATTACAGTAAAAATATAAATTCTATTTTACTTATATAGTATAATTTCTAAAAAAAAATCACTTTTTACTGACTATTTTAAGAGATACTAAAAATAGAAAAACTTGCAGTCTTCTTTTTTATGTAAATTTTATTATTTAAAATAGTTTATTTAAAATAAATTTCAGTTTACCATCCAAACAATCTAAAGCAAAAATTTACTTAGAATTTATAAAATATTTTAACTATTGTAAATATTGGTATGTGTTCAAAATCTTCTAAAAATTCATTAGTTACTTATGTATGTAATTTAGAATAAAAAAATTTAGTATTTTTTTTTTCCTTCTAAGCACAAAAAATCTTAAGTTATAATTAATCAAAAATTTAATATATTTAAAATATAAAAGATAATAGTTGAATTCAAAGAAATATATAGAATCCAATATATTTAAATGATAACTAAATCGACCGTAAAAACAATAAAACAGACTAAATATAACATATCTAAAATTATATATATAATTAAAGTAATTAAATATTATAATATAAATTAGACATACAAACTATAAATTAATTTAAAAATTAAATTAAATATCAATCAGTTATTATTGTATATTTATTTTATAAATATACATGCCCGTGCATGAGCACGGGAAAATCACCTAGTTTATACATAAACATTAAGCTATAAAGTATGCAACACACCTACACTATCAAATAAATTTATACTTTGGAAAAGGAAAATAAAATCATTTCTGTTACGTAAGGTTACAGCTTAAATTTTTCAAAAAAAGGAAAAAAAGGATTACAGTTTGAATCAGACAAGATTCAAATCAGACAACAGTAATGTACACTAAGCTATTAGATTCACAGAAAACAAATTAATGTCATCATTAATATACATTTTTTTTTGAATAAGATCATTAATATACATTACACAAATACAATCAAATAAATCCATTATAAACACTGGTATATATCTAGACTTATATCAATCAAACGTTGAAAAATATAAATAAATTTTTAAAAAATCATTTAAATTTCTTGCCAGAGTTTTTCTCCCTAAACCAATCAACCCAGTTCCGTAAAACCCACAACACACTAAGCACAATCGCCGACCCAATCACAACGAGCCACGACACCCAAGCCCACCGCGGAATCGCTCCCTCCGCGCCACCACTCCCATAAAACGACGCCATATCATACAACGCCACGGGACCAGCCAGCCCACGAACCACAGTGTAGAACAAGTAGAAAGGAGGAGACAAAACCTCCCTCACCCTCCTCGCCAACACGACGTCGTTCCTCCTGTACCCTGCGATCGTCCACACGTTCTGGCACGCGCTCGTGGCCTCCGCCAAGACCAGGAGGAGGAGGAGCGCGTGAGCCCCGTGGCCTACGTAGAATCGACACGTGGCGAAGACGTAGAGAGTGGCGACGTGGTGGAGGATGAAGAGGAAGTCGTTTGGGAGGAAGACGAGGTAGTGGAGGAGGTCGACGGTGAAGTAGGCCATGCTGAAGTCGAGGACGGTGGACTCCACGGCGGTGTTGGCGGAGGCGAAGGCGCGTGGGGTTGTTAGTAGCGCGTGGGAGGCGAGTACGACGGCGGGAGTTCCGTGGAGGAGAGACATTAGGCAGCTGGCGCCGAGGTGGGAGGATTTCCACGAGCGGAAGATGAGGAAGTAGCCGAGGAGGTAGACGGTGACGAAGAGGAGGAGGAAGGAGGGGAGGTTCGCCGGAGAAGATGGGTTAAACGACGACGTTTCCATGTTTCTCTGTTTTCTTGATATTTTTGTGGAGAACTGTTTTGGAAGAGCTCTTCGCTAATTATTTGAGTGGGGTTTTTGTAATGAGATGATGAAATGATTTGATGTGATGAGGAGTATGGTATGTACAGTGGGGCATAGAGGTTAGACATTTGATTATGGTCGTTGGATTAGTTTTAGTTTGACGTGTATTTATTTAGTAGTGCGTGCGTACAAGTTATGCTCTAGTGATTATCTGGATATTCTTTTCGTATTAGAGGGATGATTAATTACTTTATTTTATCTCTTGTGGTTAAGTAAAAGTAAAACATCATATGATGATATAATAGTATTTGTTTTATGTCAATTGTGAAAGTAATATTACGGGAAAATCATATGTTTTCAACTTTATTAAAGTTTTTAAGTAAACTAGATCGTTTTTTGCGCTACGCGCGGATAACTGCTTTCTAAATTTTATAATTGAATATGTTGTCTGAACATAAAATATTGTAAAATCATTTTTAAATTTCTAAACTCTTTAGCATATATGATATAGTATAAGAGGGGCAAGATGCATTGATCTTTGTTGTGTGGATATTGCATGTAGCTTTATAACCGCACATATTTTCTGTAACAAAATTTTCTTTTATTTGGTTTCGTAAAATACAAAGACTGAATTTGGAAAACAAAGTTAGTTTGGGAGAGGACGGGGTTGTTTTTAGTTGTGTTTTCATGATGATCATATTTTGAAATGTGGACGGTATGGTATGTTTACCTAGAGATAATAATCATAACACGATTGAAGATGGTGATGTTTTCTAAGGATTTCTACACCATAAAGGTCGTAAATATCACAGCCACATAGAGTTGGGAAAAATGAGCCGATTAGCTAGATAATTAATTAAGTTGGTAAAGATTGTATTATTTTATTGTACTCTATTGTTACTTACAGTCAAAACAATTTCAGTTTGCATGTTGGCCGATCACAAAATTTTTTTTATTCATGAACTACAAAACATAGACATAAGCTGAACACTTATATTTTTTTTTCAAATGGGAAAATATTTCGGTAACCAAGAAGAATGATACATTTTTTGGTTTGGTCTGTGATCCAACATAGTTTTATGTATAGTCTGTCTAGATATTATATTACACATGCATTTAAAACTTTCTAATAGGTTCATGATTAAATATGTGTTGGTTTGTTCATTTTTCTTTGATTTTTTTTTGACTATTACTCCATGGATTTAATATGCTTCCTATGTTTATAGGACTAAATCATGTTTTTGAGTGAGTAGGCAATGCTTCATCTTCACATCCTTAGTTTTTTCGTGTGAAATTTGACATGCTTTTGAAGAAGAGAAATAAAAAAACCTTTTTAAACTCATGGGCTTTGTAAGATACCACAGACACATAAAATACATATTTCATATTACATAAATTACATATTTAAAATAAATGAAAAAATTAAACAAATACATAATTATTGTTAAAATATTACAAACCTCAAATAGTTTTATATAAAGATGTCTTAATATATACAAAAAAATGCATTTAAAAAACATTCTGATAGGCTCATGATTAAATATGTTTTGCTTAGTTCTTTTTTTTTATTTGACTATTTCTCCATGGATTTAAGATTAATCCTCATTTCTCGTATTTAAATTGTAGTAGGCTTGAATAACATTATTAAATACATTTGTGTATTTTGGTTTAATAAATAATGATATATATATATGATGTGTTATGACAACAAATGTATAAACATTTTTGTGAATCAGCTAGATAAGGACGTGTCTTACCTCCAAGTATTGAGAGGGTGGATAGAGATGGTTTCACCCATTCCCTTCGAGATGGCGACCCTTGGAGTCAATCAGACAGTGAGTTAATGTTATGGAATAAGGTATGTAAAATTTTTGGTCTGATTTTGAAAATTTTACACTTTTGCAGATGATTGGAGAAATGTGTCACAATGAGAGTATTCCTACGTAAAAGAGTTAGCAGATAGGTCATCTGGTGGTTTTAAGATGTGATTTGAAACATGTTAAAGAAGTAGAGTCTTTTGGTAGACTTGTTTTTTTAAAAATAATTTTCACTTCTTAATAGGTAGGTGGAAGATGGAGATTATTGTGAAAGATCTTTGATTTTATTTTGATGCTAAGGAGATGTATATATGGGAAAAGAGATTCTCATTATTAAATTGAGATGGACTAAATCATCGGTGCTTAATTTTTGCCACTAAGTAATTCCCTCAAAGGTTGGATTAATCATATCTGAACTATTTTAACATTATCATCACTAGACATGAACAACTGTAGCTACACAGCACCAGTCAATTCTGTTTGATATCAATTTAAATGAAGTGCTTCAATAGCATACACTCAGCAGAGCATACGCGATTATGAGACAAAATACCTAGTGCGTTCAATTCATTACCAAAGCATTACGTATTATTTTGAAAAATTCTTGTTTAACCAAATAAGTAAATTGTTTGCAAATACTTAACTAAAGTAACACTGAAAGATGAATTTAAAGTAAAATCTCAATCTGAAAAAGGGAAGGTAAAAGTGGCGGTAGCTCTATTTCACAAGCTCAGAACGCTTTGATTTCTGTGATTATTCATCACTGTTACTGGTACTTTTTGTTTCCCTCACCAGCAACTTATCCACACCTTTTGGAAGATGCACCCACATCACTTGCAGAAGGCAGGGCCACTTTAGATTTGGCGGCAAGTGTGGAGTTCGGGGGGAAGTTGTTAAAGGTGGCAAAATTACTGCATAGACAATACTCGTAATAGTTATATTCCGAGTCTTTCCTGAGAAGTTGTATTCTAACACTTTGTCCCTGAATTTATGTGTTTCACCTAAGATGTCAACTAAAATCTTGGGGAGGGTAGGCCTCTCATGGTCAGCACCAAGATCTGAGTTAGCCTAACATACTGGAAAAATAAAGTGAGTTTATATGACTTGTTGTTAGCTTACCTCGGTTTAGTTGTCAACTATTTCGAAGGTATGCTTTTCAGTCAACTCACAGCATGCATTACCAAGTAGCACGAAAACAGCTTGTCATTAGTATATAGAGATCTTAGCAAGATACTTGTTATCAAGGGGAACTAAAATCAAATTTTAGTCAAAACATAAACGGTTGTAAAGGTTAGAGTCCATACTTTTCAACACCAGCTACGTTCGTGTTGCCACACTTTGAGCACATCAACAAATAAGGCCCTCTGGTGGCCTTAGTTTTTCAGTCATGCAGGAAATATAATACCAAGCAGTCGCCGAACATCATCAATTGTTGATACGCATTCCAAAGACCTTCCTGCAATGGGATAAATGCAAGTTATCTACATAAATAGGCCTCTGAATACCAAATTCTCTAGTTAAAATAATGCTATATATCCTGACGCAAAAACAGCCACTGAATACCTGCAACAATTGCTTCAGCATCTATCAGGCGGCCTCCTCTTAGAACACCTCCGTTGATATGCAATCTTGCACCGACAAATACCTGATCAGAAAAAAAAGAGTAAAACGCACTATTTACGGCTAGGAACGGAGCACTATATTGTAATTGAAGTTTAACGCCTCACTAATCCTTTTATGTTTAAGCCAAGTAAGTGTTGGCTTAAGGCTGTAATGACCAATCTACTAATAGCCTACGCTTAAGAACTTATTTTCCAGAATATTTAGTTTACCGCTGAATGTTGGTATCTTGGAGAAGGAGCTACGCCTGGAGCCAGAATCCATTCCCACTAACCATTTCTATGCATGAGTAAACCACTTGCATCTCCCAACGGCTGCAGTTGCACGAACATATTAATTAATATGAGATATTATAGCAAGATAAGCCTAGGTACAGTAAGGGAGATGCCCCTAATTTATATAAATCCCTATCCTGAAAAGATAGGTCTACTACTTTCTAGACAGAAAGAATGTAGGCTGGAAGATAAACATACCGCCCCCAATGTGTCTCGTTCACCACAGAAAACATACCGTCAGAAGTGGCACTGCCAGAAGCATACCTACACAGAAATATAAAAATATGTGAAAGTTCAGTTGAAGAAGAGACTTTCTACAGTAGCCATTCCAATAAACTAAATCACTAACATTCTAGCACTTGGTCGGTAACCATCAGGGTTCAGTCTCTGCCATACATATGGTTTCTGAGCTGTATCCAATGCCCAAGCGTCAGAGAGAGCTCGTTTCCCTGTTCCATACACAGTTGGAGAAAATATTTCACGATATTTAAGAAATAAACAGATTTCAATGTATAAGTTATCTGAGGGGCACAAAAGGTTCTCATAACCATAAGATCATCAAAGGAATGCCCAGCCGGGCCAATGCCAAATCAGCCAAACATAACCATGTGTCATACATTTGAGGAAAAGCCTTTCACATTTGCAAGGAACAACCTGAAAAACGACCTTGGTGCCGACATCAGCTGCAACATGAGCAGCTCTAGGAGACGGAGACTCACCAGCTGGTTTAAGCCTATTCCGATAATTAACATTTGTTTTAGATTAAGCACATAGACAAATAGGTTTGGTAAAGAACATGAAAAGCTCTCAATTTCCATATCAATGTAGCAAACACAACTGCTGGTGCTTAGATACAGTATTCAAAAGAGTTTGGATAGGCTTTCCATGAACTATTTCTATCAGAGAGGTCTCTGAACCTTACTTCCAACGTTGGTATGACAACCCTACAATCACATGTGTTTCAACATATTAAAATGTTATGATAAAGAAACTATAATAAGGAATATAAACCGAGACGATACCATAACTTACTCATATGTGCTCTTGTACGTTTTAGTACATCTTGCAACAAAAACTTAGATTAATAAAAGATTAATAAAATTAAAAATCTAAGAAATTTACCTGAAAACTTAGATTATTATAATATTATGAAAATTAAAAGATCAAAGAAATGAAAATCTAAGAAATTTACCTGGTCGACCATTTCATTGATTCGCTGGGGTTTGGGAAAACTGGGTGGAAGCATCGGAATTGTCATCACCGGTAAGAGGAGATTGAGAAGCTAGAAAGTCTTGGCTGACGGTAGCGAGGTTCACTTCCAAATACAATCGTTTGCTCCGGATTAATCCCAACTTCAGGAGTCCAAGTCCATGTGGCTTTTGCTTTGGCACGAAGATTAGGATTTGGATTTTTATACTCGCGAGTAGGCGTTTGGAAACCCTTCCATGCAGGTGAGATAATCTTTATCTCCAGCAACGATAAGGATGAGCTTCGTTTCATCCCTAGCCAATTGCAAACACAAGTCCATGAACAAATCCTTGTCGGCCTTGTTAGTGCTTCTCCCAGTTTTTAGTGAGAGAGAGACAATTGATGGAGTTAGTTAAAGAAAAGGCAATTGATAAAATAATCAGAAAAAGAAAATCAATATAATTTTTACCTATGTTACCTCCGGTGTCAACGACCAGTCTCAGGAACTCTGGAACACGAAAGACAGGCTGACAAGCCTTGGTTTCTCTTATGGTATATTTATTTATTATACCATGCCTGTTGATTCTCAGGTTTGGACCATAAGCTATAACCCTATCTAGCAAAAATCTTGGGTCATGTTTCTTCAGGACCGTCTCAATGTAGTTTCTAAGATCTCCAATATTATAACCTTCGGGAATGTCAGCATTCTCTTTATCCTAGTAATATCAAACTTAGAACGTTATTAATCACATGGATCGTAACCAAGATGACATTTTTATCAAATAAAAGATAACATATTATCATTTCTTTTATCATGAGATGTAATTTTTCATTCAAAGGAAAAAACTATAACTTGATACATTATTTGTACACTTTTGTTGGTTATACTTTTAATCTCTACAACATATCAACTACACAAAATCTTGATACTATTGTTGATATCTGAGTGTGGATGGACATCTTCAATTAATTATGTTGAATAGATCAAGTTTTTTACAATTTGTTAAAGAACACATTTGCATAAGGGTTTACACTATTTCACTTTGGTTTGAAGGCTTCCTATATAAATGACACAACGTTTATTTGCAAAAAAATGGTTTGGAGTGTTGAAAAGAAATAAATTTTTTTTTGATAATCCACTTATTTGATTATCATTGAAAACATAAGGAAAAAAATGGGGTTTTTGTAATGAGATGATGAAATGATTTGATGTGATAAGGAGTATGGTGTGTATGGTGGGTCTTAGAAGTCAGACGATTGATCGCAGCCGTTGGATTACTTTAGTTTGACGTGTATTTATTTAGTAGTGCGTGCGTACAAGTTATGCTCTAGTGTAGGATTATCTGGATATTCTTTTCGTATTAGAGGGATAATTAATTACTTTATTTTATCTCTTGTGATTAAGTAAATGTAAAACATCATATGATGATATAATACATTTTGTTTTATCTCACTTGTGAAGTAATATTGCGGGGAAATCATATGGTTTCAACCTTGTTATGTGACGGGAAATGGGGATTAAGTTTTTTAAGTAAATGTCCGATTACGTGATGATGCAAGAAAATGCTGGCGAATTGCGATTTAGCAGTCCCAACAGGCTTTACTAGGCCCATTATATTGACAGCTTTAAAGATCTTTTAAATTATATAGCCTTAAATTTAGTTATAACGAAATGCCCAATATGGAAGCACATGAACAAATGCGTTGTTACTCGATTATGGTTCTTTCGTCCAGTGTAGGTCATACTTTTTTTTTTTTTATGGAAGCACATGAACAAATGCGTTGTTACTCGATTATGGTTCTTTCGTCCAGTGTAGGTCATACTTTTTTTTTTTTTTTTTTAACTTGGGTATTTGGGTAGTCACATTCCCAACTATTCCCAAGGGGGATCCAGCGCCTCAATAGAAGGTGTAGGTCATACTTAAAAAAAGACAAAAAGGTTTAAGTATGTGTAGGTCATACTTAAACATTTTTGTCTTTTTTTTTTTCTTATGTCAAACCTTCGGTTTCATTTATCAGACCTAAAGGGCAAATTAGAAGCTAAACATCATTAAACCCAATTCCCATATATTATTAGAATAAGCTGATTCATATACTCCTCATTTCCTAAAAGATCATCCTCGATGTCATAAGATTCTCGGCTCGCTTTCTCCCCCCCCCCTCAACCAATTACATTATGACTACTGAAAGACTTGGTTGTCAAATATGGATTTTTTTTTGGTCAAACATGGTTTATGAACCGCTAATGTAGCTACTTGTGGGCATTTGCCAAACTCACACAATCCACTTCAAATGGGATTTCTTCTGTGGACACACAAGCAATGTAACCTTTAGGACACCCATAACACTATTTTAGTACTTAAAGAAAGTTTAAAAACAACAACTAAAGCTACAGAACGCAAGCATAATGTCTTCATCTACACCAAGAAATTCTGGAAATGTACTCACAACCTTTATGTGCCAAGTTCTGCAAATACTTTATAATCTTATATTTGCAAGCCTTGTCATTCTCCAATGTTAGAATCTTCTCGATGATTTCTAATCTTCTCATCTACTATTGCTATCTTCTGTTTGTAATTGGTAATTGTGCTTGGTCCAAATTAGACATGAAACTTGTCGAAGGTACTTGCCTGGGTCTGGTATTGTTCCAAATCTAAAATAATGACCTTCTAATTACATGGTTTTCCTGTAAAATGAGAAGCATATAAGAAGAACAAAAAAATGATAACATTGAAAACTAACTTACCATGAAAACTAGAGTGTTGATCTCTACCTGGGTAAAAAGTAAATTAATCTTAACTCAATGAAAGTTTACTTAAGAAAATGCTTTACAATACTTAAACCTACAAGTTATTGCAAATTACCAATTATAAAAGAATTATTTACCAGTCATAAACTGAGAATCAGTGTGGGCAGAGAGATTTGTGCTGCTGAAAGTGAGAAGAAGAAACTAAGAGAAAGTTGAGATTAAGTTAAAGATATCTGGATTTATCAACCAAACACACTACAATTTTTTGACTATATTCTGACCACTACACAACACACAGAAGGAATGGTTATTAAAAATAATCTGACCACTTTGTGATCCTTTTATGATCATTTTTGACGATATTAGAATGGTCAAGACATGGTCACAAATTACTGATCACTTTTGTAACCAGTTCGATTAGTAAGAAATTTTAGATCACAGTTTGTCCACTTTGTTTAATCATCATAAAAAGGTCAGTTTGTGGTCATAAATAATTTTGACCAATTTATGTGGTCAGAAATTTGGTTAGAATATGCTATGATTTTTTATAGTGTAGTGGATAGTGTCTCACCTAATTTAGTGAGAAATTATAGTGTTAAAATAATGTAATTTTAGAATATAATTAAAAAGGTTTTGGTGTAAATATTACACTAAAATGTGTTTTGTAGTTGGGTTGAAGATGATCTTAATTTTCCGTTTTTATACTTATTTTCGTAGATTTTCTGGTTATAAAAAGATCTGGGCAAATTTTTATCCATATCTTACCATTTCCGAATTATATTAGTGAAGTTAACATATAGATTTAATTTAGCTAATTGTGTCCATAAGCTTATTAATCTTTCCCCCTCTCTAATATTTCGATTCTCATTATTTTCTATATAAAATATAATTTTCACTAGAAATTCGACATAAGAACAGTGTTATTACGTCAGTTACCAACCCCTGATCCATTCAAACCATTTTAAAAATGAATAAATCAACGTAACTTACAATATCGTTGAATGAAATCATATATTCATTCAATGTTACTGGTGTGTATTATTCTTGTAAATGAAAAAAAAAAAAAAGAATCTTGTTGGTGAACGAGGTCTTTCAGTTACCCAGTCGCCTACTTTCTTAGACATGCCCCCACTTCCAATTCATATTATAAATTCTCGTATTGACAAGAGATTATAATTGTAACACAAGCTTGAAGAAGAACAAAGAGAAGATGAAGAATGTTTTGGTGGTTGTTGACGAGAGCAACTCAAGTTATGATTTACTCCTTTGGGTCCTTGAAAATCTTAAAGATTCCATTGACAACAACAAGCTTTTGATCTTCGCAAAACAGCCACAAACTTCTATCTCACTATCTTCTTCAGTGGGCTTTGCTCAACTTTTCTATCCATTTTCACCCAGTTAAGTAGTTAATAAACGATTATTCTTCAAAAAAAAAACAAGAAGATTTTTCTTCATTGTTTATAGAAAACATCTATGATTTTTCCTTTTATCTTATGCGTGTTCTTGTATGTTTTGCAGGTGCAGAACTTATACGATCGGCGCAAGAAAAAAATAAGAAGATTGCTTTGGGTATATTAGAGAAAGCCAAGAAGATAAGTGGAAATCATGGGGTAATATCTTGATCAATTCTTTTATGGAATCACTTGTGCAAAATATTTATATGCAAGTTTGTGTCACCAACAAACCATTTGTTGAAAAGTTTAGTCTCATCATAAATTCATGTTGCAAAACAGATTAAAGCAGAGACATTCACTGTTATCGGAGACCCTAAAGAGCCAATCCACAAGCTAATTCAAGAGCGAAGGATCGATTTATTAGTTATGAGCAATCAACACACACAAAGTCTCAAAAAGTAAGAAAAAATATAAGTAATTCAATTAGTACTATTTCAAATGATATGTCGATTTTAGCCAAGAAACTTAGGAATGACAGAAAAAAATAATGATCATCCTCGTTCAAATAAATGCAGGTGTTTACATAATACAGATTGCTCTCTTCTTGTCGTGGAGAAAGAATTTCGTAAAAATTAGCGATTAATTCGCTAAAATGAATGATGGTGTAAACTGCTAAAATCCTGTATTTATAATACTGTATACATGTGTTTATGTAAACTTCTGACTGTAAGTATATCGTTATAATAAAAGTCATGTATTTATAGAAATCATATGTTGTGACAAGAATATGCATGGATTGTCTAAATGTGTGATTAACCCACATTCACATTAACATTAATATCTTCTATTTGCTTTTAACATTTAACTAGTGGTGGTAGTCTAGTGGCGCTTGAGGGAATAAATCCAATAAGGCGAATCCGGATTCAAACCTCACTGGCCACACGGATATGGGTTATTGCTTTCGACCCATTTGAATGCCCAGGAGAGGGTCTATCCGTGGGCTGTACCTCCATCCGGGAGTTAGGTCTGTGTCTTTAATAGACCCGGGTTTAACCCTTTAAAAAAAAAATAATTCATAATTTAACAAAACGAAATACGTGAATAAAAAGTACTCCCTCCGTTCCTTAAAGATACATATTCTAGAAAAAAAATTTGTTTCTAAAAGATCCATTTTTTACATTTTCAATGCATGTTTTATTAACTAATTGTAAACTTCAAAAAACTTAATTGCACTAATTGATTTTCTATTGGCTAAAAATTATGGAAAGAAGATAAATACAAAAAACAATGCAAATTTATTGTGTTTTA